TTAGCGCTGGCCACAGAATTGGATGCTCCTGGTGGCAAAGATCAAGCGTCAGGGAACCCTGGAGTGGGTGAGCGTGGAGGGCTGTGATGTAGTGAATGAGTGAAAATGTGCCTTTGTGAGTCACTGACTTGTTCTTAATGGCAGCTGTGGAGGAACAGGGAAGGATAAAGGAACAGAGGGCTAAAGGAGCAAAAAGTATCAGAAAGGATAAAATAATCTGAACTAGTTCTTTCCATGCACTTATTTTTTGTGACAAGTGATAGATGTACCTAAAAATTATCAAAAATCAATCAGAGAAACTACTACTCCAAAGATACTTCCTGCAAAAGCTGAACCAGATCCTCTTCTCAGACTGGGGTGGGGGTGGGGGAACATGGGGGACAAGGAACAAAACAACCTAGATATGGAATATTGGCTAGAACATTTTTCATTTGCACATAGACTTGAACTTCCTGTACCTCAGTACAAAGGGGCAAAGTCTTCAGCAGAAGGTCCTTCTTGTTGCATTTATGACCCAAGAGGAAGCAAGAAAATGCAGAAATAATTCTGTTTCATGGAGATCCTGAAGACCGTTTTCCAAAGAGACAGTATGAAGAAGTAGCATTTGAGTCACTGGATATATGTTTAGGCTGAATCCAAATATTGAAAGGAAACACCTAATCTTCTTTTCTGGTATCAGCCAAAGCAGAAGAAGACATTTATGCACTGTTTCTGAATCAGAAATGGTACCAAGGCCTGGAACAGCTTTGCACACCCTGGTTTTAATCAAATGCAGGATGCCTGAAGGCAGAATTTGCCCTGCAGTGTCTGGTTGGGAGATTGATATTACCAGATTGCTTTGAGTAAGAGAAGCAGAGATTTTAGAACAAGCAAACACAACAAAAGGGGGTCTGTGAAGACCTTGGCCAGAGCTGTGTTCTGCAGCACAGGAAATGTATCACAACCCAGCCCTATCAGAAGGCTGCAACATCTCCTGGATGTGATTTATTGCAAAGCATCACTTAGATACAGATGCCTACAGACTGTAGTAGATATCTAGAGAGTGGCCATCTCCAGACAATTACAGAAAGAATATTTTGATAGCTTAAGTAGAATGTGGATCTTTCAGTCAAGATGGATACATTTCTCACCAAGGAATGGTTCAAGTGAGAGAAAAGAGTAAAAGATGTGGGTTCTAACATAATAGGGTCCATCCCAGCTGCCTGGTTTCAACTTTGTTGTCAGGAAAAACAGCCCATAATTAGGACACCACTCATTTCTTATTTCTCTTGCTTCATCCCCTTGTTTCTGGTCCCTGGGGAAGGGGGTCTCATTCACACAGAGCACACCTATGGTGAAGGCTTTTTTTGCCAGTACTCGTCCAGTTCCGTGCCCAGAGACCTGAACTTCTGTTTGCACAACCATAGAGATTGTGTTGAAACTCTTTGTTTTTGTGAGAATATACCAAGTGCACAGGTGCCTGTAAAAGGTAGGGATTTCATTTGGAAAGGAGATGATGCTGCATTTGGCCAGATCTATGGAAGTGTAGTTTTTCTGAGTCTCAGGTGAAAATGTAAATCTCCCCTGTCTCCCCTGCCCAACTGTCCCGCTCAGTTTGCCTTAGGCTCAGCCATCCTTGCACCTTCAGAAAAATACTCAGAAATACATTTCCCTGCTTCTTTTTCCAGGGCCTGGGTGGCATGATCTCTTAATGCATCTGCCTGTTTATGTTAGCAAAATGGAAAGCAGCTTTGTTTATGGAAAAGATCTATTTTTGTTTTACTTTTTTCTCTCAACTAAACTGACTTTTATCCAGGATCGTGTTTTGCTTTGGGAAAAGAAATGTGCTGCAATTCTTAGCCCTAGCTTAAAAGTCAGGTCAAGAGGAAAGGGGGAAATCCTGCTCATATTATTTAATTTTGTAGGATTATCCTGCAGCCTGGAAATCTAAAAGAACGGAAGAGTTAATATTCCGTCTTCCCTGCAACTTCTTGCTCTGCGTCCCTGTGCAATGACATTTGCTATTCTCCCACATATATTTACTCAAACCAGATCAGAAACAAAATCAGTATTTCCATCTTCTGGGCAGGGGGACAGTGTGTGGCATCCAGGGGAGAAGGCAATTTCAGAAGCCATCATGATCCCTGGAGGATAAATCAAGTCATTTTGCATCTTTCAAGTTCCTCAGACTTTGATCTCACAAGAGATCGAACAGGATCAGGTCACGGATGGTAGATTTTGAATGCAGACCCAGACAGGGCATTGTGACGTGGAGATGATGTGGTGAGGTGTGGAGCACAATGTTCAGCCATCGTGGAGACTATGAGAAACAAATCCGTGTGTACAAACTGCCAAAACATAAAAGGTTCTGCTCCTGGCCTGGGAGGAGGTCTGGCCAGCCCTCATCATGACACACTGCTGGGCAGGTTTTGGCAAAAGGTGACACTGAAAGCTTGGTTCTGATTCTAGCTGTGCTGCTGACTCACAAGATGGATTGTATCAATTCTCCTCATCCTCCTCTAGGAGATGGAGATCACACCTGCCTGTTTTCCAGAACTGTTCTTTCCTCTTTGAATGTGTGCTATGGAATTAGGGGCTGTATGAAATTGGCCATCACTTTATGACAATTAACATGGTAGATTCATGGTGAAACCCATTGTAAACATATAATATATCCTTAAAGCTCTGTGACACAGTGAATATATTATCCCAATTTCAACTCTGAAGGTGTGCTGTGGAAAACAGTGTCTACTATGAAGGATGTCTGACTTTTCCCAATAACATGTGTGTGATTTTCTATGATGTACATAAACATATCTGCATTAAAACCACTGTGTTGATGCAGGGTTGTCTTGATTCCAATGCAGGGTGCTCAAAAATTATGAAAATTACAGATTTTAGGTAGGTCATGCAACTTCAGTTCAACCCCCCAGTGCGTATGGCTCCATGACAATCATTTAGCATATAACCACACACAGATTTCATTCCACATTTTCCCTGCTTCCATTTTCAGAACCTTGTGCAAATCACAGCACTGGTTGCACCCTTCAGACTAATATCCATGGGAATCTTTAAATACAAGCTGTTAAAGTGACCTAAATGTAAGAGTTTGCTGCTACTACCCAGTAATAACATGATAGGATAGCCAGGGTAGGCACTATCAAAAGGATAATGAACAATGATAATAACCCTTAATAAGTCATAAGAAATAATAAAGTAGGTAATGAGGTGCCAGTTTTCACAGTTAGCTGTGAAATGTTTCTCATGTTGACTTGAGAAAAACCATATAAGGGGATGAAAATGGCCATTTCTGTTGATTTACTCTCACTTCCAACATTTCTTCCTAACATCAAATTTGTGAACTGGAACAACGGAGCTTAACCATGTTCTGATACATGTTTGGTGCAGAGAAATCCTTTGAAAAATGTGGAATCGATTGAAGAACAAGGAACAATAAGATATCAGCTAGTTTCTGGCTGATTTCCCATTTCTGACATTGTAAAAGCATCCAGGACTATTTGTTTAATTTGAAATAGTGAGCCACGGAACCATCCTGGAACCCCTCCTAGCACATATGCACATACACAGACCCCAGCAACTCGCTCCCTACCCACAGCCATCTGTCATGTGTGCCAACTGGAGCAAACCACTCATATTACTCAACAAGGAGCTCATTATAGCTTCCTCTTCATCCACGGGGCTTTTGGAAAAGCTCACAGTCAGGGTGAATGTGCAGCAGGGAGGGAAGGCATTCAGGACTGGGGTGCAGTGTCTTCCATTGCTTCCTGTCCACATCAAAGTGCAAGCATTTCAGTGACAACCATTATTATTGTCACCTAGGAGAATATCCCTTCCTCCTGGAACCCTCTTATGACTGGTAGGCAATCCAGGCTGACCTGCTCTGGACTGCTTCAAGAGTTTATTTCATTTTCCTTATCTGTAAGTATGTTACAAATCATTCATTTAATTTAAATTTTTCCCAGTTTCCCATCACCACAAAGGAAGTACTCACTGGAGCAGATTTTCAAGAGATACCACAGCTCAGTTCCATCATCAAACTTCATTCCCTGTGATTTCACTTGTGGTCAGCCCATATTTGTTATTTCAATGCCATTTCCTACCCTTGAAACTCCATCAACTCTTTGGGACAGAGATGATTTTATTATGTTGAATTATTCAGTGTCCAGCACAGCAAGGACCTGGTCACAAATACTGCAATATATATAAAAAAAAATGGCAAAGCTACAAAGGAAAACTCTGGCATAAAACCAAATCCTTTTCCTTAATGTCTACCTGAAGCAGATGCTGGTGGTACATGTAACGTGTGGGGCTTTGCTGATTTACACCCTTGTAAAAATCAGTATTCAAAGCTCCTTTTCATGTGTAGCTTCCATCTAAGTAAAGGAGATACTGCATATCAAAGGCAGCTGCACCAGCCACTTTAGATTTATTAGTAAATCCATTGAAAAAACATTTCCAATGAAATAAATCTCAGCCTGCTGACTTCCTCCTATTCTTTACTTATCCTCTTATTGATTTTTGTCTCGGAGATTTAAACCTCTCAATTTGTTTTATGAGACACTTGTCGAACAGATGACAAGAAAAAAGACAGTGCTGGATATTTTCTTTAGCAGTTTTAAGTAGAAATAAAGACCATTTCTTTGAAATTAGTCTTGCTCCTGTGACACAGTAGGAAGAAAATATCTGACAAGCCCTTTAGAAGGCATTATCTCTGTGCATAGAGAAAGCTTACGGGCTGCCACCAACACAGCTTTGTGGCAGCAGTGCCCCAGAAGCTCATTGACAAGTTTGACATGTAAACAAGCTGTTGCTAAAAATATTTAACCTGGGGGACCCTGGCTAGTTGAAGGGGCTAGTAATGGAATACAGATCCTTTCACCTCCAGGCATCTGTTCCAAGCTACGCCATTGACTGAAAGTCATTATCGCTGGATGGCTGTGGAGAGGAATGAGTAGGTGGGCTCTGCTCAGTGTCTCGTGAGCAAATTGGGCTGAACAAACCTGGGATTTTCAACAGAAAGCTGGGGGCTGGCATCTTCTGGTGGCTGGGGCCACTGCTCCCAGGAGAACAGCCCTCGATTCACTCCCCTGCAGCTCCCCTCCTGGGACATGTCACCTGGCAGACATGGGCGTCTTTGCAGCCCCTTCCCAAGCTGCTGTTGCTGTTCTGGAGATGAGAGAAGATGGAGAGATTAAATGGAAGGGTACATCCATCCTCACCTCGCTCCCACACACTGCCCCACAGCCTAAGCCTGTCCCAGCCCATGAATGCCAGGCACTGCCCTGGAACCCAGATGCCAGCTGGTCATTTCTAAAGGCTCCCTATTTGATTCTAAAGGTTCTCTAATGATACTTTTCCAGAAAAAGATATACATAGGCTAGAACAACACCCCCACCTTGCAGACCCGCCTTCTGGAGGAGTGAGAGTGACAAGGCAGCACAAGGAACACAAGTGAGGTGCTGACATTCGCCCTTGGCAGGGCAGAGTCCTGCCAGACCAAGTGCCTCTCCTCAGCTCCACAGGGCTTGGAAGTTAGGAAAGGGAAATTTCTATTCCCACACTTTAAATTGCTGTTACTTCGACTACGCTGCTTTGCTCTGGGCTGTGTGCTCCGATGGCCCTGCCAGCTCTCAGGCAGTCAAACAGCTTTCCCTCCATCCAGTTTGAGCAGCTCTACACCTAAAATCATGCCCTGAAGAGACACTCAGAGGCAGTTCCCCAACACCCCAGACCCTGGGCTGCGTTACCCCATTTTGGTATGATTTTAACTCTGTTTTGTTCCCCTGAGGCGGCCGCGGTGCCCTCACGCCCTGGGGCCGCGCCTCCTTCCCTCAGCAATGGTGGTGCCGGTCAGGGGCTGGGTCCTGCCCTTCACAGCATCCCGGCAGCCTTCCACAGCCGAATTTCACCTCGTGTCACACACATAATATAAAAAAATATATATATATATATATATATATATATATGTCATATATATATATATATGATATAGGTGGGAAAGATTGCCCCCAGGCCGGGTATTTGTTGGGGTATGGAGGCCCTGACATCCCGACAGGCCGGGATGGCTGTGAGAAGGCCGGCCTGGAAAAAAGAGGCGGGAAACCCTCACTCAGACCCTGCTGTCTAGAAAAAAGTCACTTTTCCAAACTCAGTGTTTCTGCCCCAATGGCTTCAGGCTCTCAGAGGACAGCGGGTGCCCTGTGAGGGGACTGGTGCTGCGCTGTCAGCCACGAGCCGCTCCTGAGGGGGATTTAAGGCTGGTCTTGTGTCCTTACAAGCCTTTCTGTGCCACAGAGCTGGAGGATTTAGATCCATTATGTTGTTTTTATTGGGTTTTTTAAATTACAAACCTGGCACCTCTTCTAGTTCCCATTTACAGGGTTTTCAATTCCCATTTGCAGAGATCTCATCCCAGGAGCTCCAGGGCAAACTCCCCCTCCACCAGCGCAGGGACAATGTTGCCAGGCAAGGTTGGTGTTAATTTAACTTTGGGAATAGCAGGAACAATAGGACTGGAAGGGGCCTTCTGGTTCATCAGATTAGTCCTCTGTTGTTAGAGGCAACTATATTATATAATCCCTTTTGCAAATGATGCTGGCTCTATCCTAAAGGGAGCTGGGTTATTTTTGTCCCCTGTGTCCATGGGAAGGCCCTTGGAGAACCTCCCTGCTGTAAGGACATCCTCATCCAAGGAGCATCTTGCTCACCACAGAGCATTGCTGTTATTAATCTCCAACCACACAGACTGATTTGAATCCTATTACATTTCATTCCTAATGCTGGAATGCCCAGGATTATATGAGTCTTCCTGTGGAATACTCTGGCCCTCCACATTTACAGCACTGCTCTTATTTTGTGTCACCAGCACAGTCCTACAGCAAGATCATTGATTCTGTTTGATATTTTTATCAGTCTAAAGGTTTTGCCTTGAGAAACTGTGCCAGTTACATGCCAGCAGACTCGCCTTCAGCACAGCCCTCATCTCCCTTTTTGAAGGGAGTGCATTGAGCAGAGCTTATCCAACCTGGGTAAATCAATTTATCCCCGTACCTTTTCTTTTTTTAAGTTCAAAGATGTATCTGCAACTCGTGTTCTTCTATCATATATTGTATGGATGCTGTGTCCCATGTTGGCTGAGAGCTTTATGAGCTCCATCCCCCTGGAGAACCCCTGGAAGCCACACCTTACTATATCTCTTTTAAATCAGCATATGTTCCCTATATTTATAACCTACATTTTCTTTTACTCTGACACCATGAAGATTTTTTTGACAAAATTGCTTTATACCATTTCTACAGGACTTGTTTCCATCCGATCTTTTGGCAGGACAGGAGAGAAACAATGCAAGACCTTAACTACTTAGTGCAGAAAATCCAGAGGGATCTTCTGTTTTCTTGTATACTGACTGTCCCATGGATGGTGGGCATTCCAGAGGAGGGGTCCTGCTACAAAGAGACCTGTTTCCCACCCTCTTTTTTGGCACTTCGTAGAAGGCCTCTTTGGAAGGGACTAATGGCCCTTTGGGACAAGCCCTCTTCTGCCAATAACCGTGGGTCAAAAGTTAAACTGAACAGTGGAGAATGAAAACTGGATAAAATACACTATAAATCTTGACATTCTAATTGAGAACTGTCCAATGCAAACTGCAGTAGTGTGTCTGGTTTACCTCAATGCTCTACAAGGGGCCAGAGCCTGCTTTCCTTAATGGCTTGAAGTATCCTACTGATTTTTACTGGGACTTCTCACTTGATTAAGACATACAAGGTTTGGACTTTGAAAAGACTTAAAGTTTGATAGTTAATGCAATTTCTGCAGCCACAACAGCAGAATGAGGGTTTTGATTTCACAGTAAAGGCACGATCTTCTCATCTTTCAGGTGACAGTGACATGGCTGTGTATGTGTGTGTCTGGGGGCAGAGATTTGCAGGACAAAAAGATCTGTGGACAAATACAGCTCATAAAGAGAATGTTTTACTGAAGTGAAATTTGCCTGAACATATCATGCCATCTAAGATGTTTTATAGATATTTTTGCTATCTGAGGTAAATGGGGGAGGATTACACCTATTTTACAGGCTGGTGAAATTAGAGCATAAAGAATTTAAATGACTCAGCCAAGATTACCCAGTAACTCAGTAGCAGACCCCAGCAGAAACTGGGGTGCCAGTGCTCAGAACACTGGCCCAAACTGTCCCCTTGGCCTTGAACATACATCACTTTCAGACACTTAAAATACAGAGTCAAAAATAATAGAGCAGAACTTGTTTATTCCTCTGCTTATATATTAAACATAACTTCACTTTCAGTGCATAGTTTTGTGGTTTATATTTTCATGGGAATTCTAATCTTTGAAGCAATTCATTCCAGACTTCTTTTATTCCCTTTTACAAAGCAATGCATAGATACTGGAATAAACCTCCTGCTACTACAGGCAGACCACTGTGGTTCCCATCCTGGAAGCTCAAGAGAACTATCCTGTAACATTAGACTACAACAGCGTTTTATTAATGTTACACCTTGGAGCTCTTCTCTGAATAGGAAACTTTCCTCCAAATTTATTTGAAATAGTATCCCTCTGCCCTGAGCTAATTTTTTTTCAGCCTGGTTAACATCATAAAATGGATCATTAATATGTCCTTTGAAAGGGATGCCAGTTCTGTGTAGCTCATACAGTCTGTATGTGTTGGTGCAAAGAAATTGCTCCTACTGTACAGGATGTGTGTGCCAGAGAAAAGAGAGAGGGTTAAAAAGGGAAAACGTATACTGGAATGTAGTGGCATAACAAATCCATCCCTAATCTTGAAAGCTCCATAGTGCATGAGTAATGAAACTAAGGATGAATTATTACAACTTGCACTCATAATTTACAGGTACGAGTGTATTATCTTACAGCATAAATATTCCATTTAGGCTTTGTGATGGGGTTTTTCTCCATATAGGAAAATAAAAGTGGTATTAGTCACACGTCCATAGCTTTGTCAGTGGTTGCAGAATGTTTTTCTTTCCAAGAGGAAAGCGTACTGAATAATGCAACACTTCTATTTAGGCTGCTTTTTCATACATTGACACTTTCAAAATCTAGAAACAGTTCTTTTAATTTTAAGGGCTACAATGCCTGCTCCCTTTATTCCTGCCCTTTATCATCTTACACACCATGTTCTTATAGACAAGAGGGGAAAAAAACATTCCAGTGTCTAATAAATCTGAAATCCATCAGGGGCTGCAAAGTGTTCATTCTCCTGCCTTGGTTCAGATCGTGTTACATTCAGCAGCACAACAAATGCACTTTGTGCCCCAACACCAATGCATTAAGCACTTTCCTTCATCTTTCTGGGGTGGGAACTAAATCCATTTTTTTAGAGTTTTGAAAATTTTTAATAAAGAGAATTGGCTGCACAATTGATTCACAAGCAAGGAGAGGGGAAAATCACATTACTGTAGTTGTTTCTGAGCAGAATTTTAATATTGCTAAAGGACTTTAAAAATATTTTGTGCTTCAAGCCTTTTCTAGCATGCAGTGCTCTACCTTTGGTTTTCTGAGCTAATTTATGAGAAACTGTGTGCAGGTCTCAGTAGTCCTTTTTTGCTCTTAGACCTTTTGCTGCCTGTTACAGTGAAGTTGCACATGCTGTGCTTTCACAAATGGGAATTTTACTTTTGTTCTTTCCTGTTGCATTTCCCTAAAATAAAATACATTGGGGTGGGGGGGGAAAGTATTTTGTTACTGTTTGTATAAGGAAATAATGTAATATGGGGCCAACTCTTTGGGCACACCAGGACCAGTTTTCTAACACATGATCTCACAAGTATGAGAGATTTTATTTCAATGAACTCAGTTCACGGCTATGGACCTTAAAGAGGAGTAGATTAATAGGTGTCAGGCAATTTAATAGTTTCTTTCTGACCCTTGTAGACAGCTTTTTTTAGAAGAGCTGAGCCCTCAGCAAGGTGAGTTCTAGAAATCAGAATCCAATTAGGCTTCTAAAAACAATAGCACTTCTCTCAGATACCTGCATCTCAGTTTCTGGGTGAAAGGGAAGCATTAATAATGAGCTAAATTGTTATTAGTGAAATGGTCAGGGGAACGTATCTATGAAATGCTTTTAGATTCAGGCATGCTAAGAAACATTAAAACAAATAAATTATTTGTAGAACAGACCTGTCAAGTTTAAAAATGTCCATGGAGGTACTATTTCAGAACTTGTTCCACCCAACAGTGAAGTTGCATTTATCAAAAGGAGAACTATTTGCAAAGTGAATATTGACTAGTGTGTACAGCTTAAGGAAGAAATTGTAGTTACAGCTGATGTAACTGGAGTACTTCCACATGGCACAAGTTTTCAATTCTACAGACACAAAATTTGAAGGGCAGTAGCAAAGAAAGAGAAAGAGGAGAGGTGCTGAAAGACAAACTTTCAAATAAGCACATGCTCATCTGAAAGAGCTGCTGCATTTGTGTGTACAGAATTTATAGGGGGGTTACCCTCACACATGAGCATTTTCCTACATACCAAAACTAAGCCCTAACATATTGTCAGGTTTGAAAACATGGACACTGAGGGTCCTGCAGGTCCGTGGGGCAGAGCTGCTATCAGGGTCAGGTCCCAGCTAGGATTCACTGTTGTATTAACATTTTTTCTTGTCCTCTGCTTAAACAGAAGAGACAGCAGAGCAAACACTCCAGCCCACCCCATTGTCAGCTGCTGTGCTGGATTAAACAAGACCAGAATTCACTCCTCTTATTGCAGGTAAAAAAATAAATTATATCTTCCATGTTACTTCTGCCAAAAAGGTGGGGTTTTTTTTCCTCTTATCATTAAGCCTGGTAATTTGAGCATGCAGTGGACATCTGTGCATTGAAGTAGGTGCTTCTGCTGCACACTGTTTTCATCAGGAGCTGTTTACCAAATGTGAAAGACTATAAATGTTACTGGAGTTTCCTTTGAAAAAACAGTGTTCCCAATGCTGGCATCAAATACTTGCCTGAGGAAAGGATGTTATGGTCATTTAGAAATCATAGGTGGAACCAGTGAGGCATCAAAGGGAAAAAAACACTGTGGAGAGGCATCTCAAGTTAAAATACCTGGTGGTCACTCCTTTCTCTGACTGGCCTTTGGGTGGCCAGCATCACCACTGCTTTAGTTGCAAGGAGTCCCCCGGTTAAGCTAAAGATGGTCACATTTTAAAACAGAAGTGTGTTTTGAGCTGCAGTCCCCAGTGAGTATTTCTTAAGAAACGGTTGAAACTGTCAGTATTTTAGGAAGGCTGGAGGTATTGCAGCCATTTCCTATCAGATGATGCCTCTCTAAGTATGAAGGGTCTACTTTGAGCAGATTAGGTTAAATGTGAAACTTGACTTCATTAATGCTGATGGAAACACAGAGCTCAATATTCTGTTCAAAATTATATTTTGAAGGAAAACCTCCTTTTAAGTAAGACTATACCAGTTCAGAACTGTTAAATTTGATACTGTTGTAACATAACACATTTCAAAACTGAGTGTCAAGAGGTAGAAATGTTCCAGTCCTGTAAGAGCAAATTCATAAACGTTGACATTTTTGGTGGTCTTTGTTTCTACTTTTTAAATGAATTTCCATCAGAAAACTTCGTGTGAGAAATAAGTGTGGCAAAGGATCTTGAGGCAAGTAATTATACAGTGATTGTTTTAGGCTCCTTATTCTTATTAAATAGAGAGTAAAGTAATCATAATTTATCTATGGCCTCTGTATTTTTGTTTGCAGTACAAAGCTGCAACAGAGAGCTCAGTGAGTAACCTTGTTGCCTGAGCAGTACTGGCATCCCTGATGATTCTTGTACACTAACAGGGTAATAATAAACAGAAATGCCTTTTGAATTACAAGTTCCATTGGAATCACAGGGGGAAGGTCAGTGTTCGCCAAATTGAGGAAGACAAAACTGGCATGAAAGGAATTTTATGTTCGAGCTTCTCAGAGGGGATTAGAAGTGCTTTCTTAATAGTGACTGAAAGGGAGCTGGAATGGTGTCACTGAATGTACAGACACTGCCCTGCTTGTGCACATCCACCCACAGCCACCACATCCAGCAGCACAAGCACCAAATGCATGAGGCTGCTGTGATGTTTGAGGGGGTTTCAAAATACATTTTTTTTTATCCTTCATCTCCACATGCTAAATATATAATAAGATACCTTGTTTTCTTGCCCTGCAGACCCACATGACCAAAATGAGGGACATTAGTAAGTGTTAGAAAAAGTATTCAAGTGTGAAATGAATTTCTCAAACATTAATAAGTATTTCTAGAACCTCAGTTTCATAATTTGACAGTTCCACAGTTAATAAATCACAGCAAAAGGAAAGTGTGATAACAGCAGAGCAAAAGGAAGCCTGGATCTATGAAGTGCAACTGAGGGATAAGTGAAAGAAGCATGCTGATGACCCTGAGTTTACTTTTGGGTTTTCTGAGCTTTCACTCAATTAAATTCATTCCTCTCCTCTAAAGACCTATTATGTGCCTTTACCTACGTTCCTAGCTGATTTTTCTTGTAATTCAGGTCCTTTGCCAAGTTATTTCCATGATTTAAGGAGTACTGATTAAAAAAAAAAAGAAAAAAAAATAGAAAGAGTAACAGAGAGATGAAAGGAGCATCCACACTGTATTCGAAAAGGTTTTCTGAAGAGGTGGGTTGATTTTAATTAACTTCCTGAATGAAACAATTCAGGTCTGGAGCTGGCAATCTCCAATAATCACTTTTTGGCCTCTGGATAAAAAAGGAGTCAATTACACAAAACAATGCAACAAAAAGGCAGTCAATGGAAGGAAGTAGTTCTGTGTATTACAGCAGTACACACATTTAGAGAGGCCCAGGATCCAGAGGCCCAACATGAGATTAATCCCCACTGCAGTAGACACTAAATACACATTACAAGAAACAGCCCCCTTACTCCAAAGCTTATCTTCTCTGCAAGACTAGTTCCTGTTTATATATTTTGAGCATTTCCCCTAATTCAAAGTATATGCACAGAAAAAGCCTTAACTTTATTGTGAGTTGCTGTCCCAGGAGTCCCACAAACTGCAGTTCCAGTCACCCAACATCTGAAGTGACCATTCTGTAACAGGAACATCACTTGGCATCACTCAGCTCTTCCTTCATCCCTAAATCTTACCCTCTGCACCATCTTTTGTGTATTCTAAAGAGGTAATTTAGATTTTCCTTTGGTGGAGCTAATACAGAACTTGAGGACATGTCCAAAATATTCCTGTTGCCATTAAGCAAGACAGATTAGAATGAGAGAACAAATAAACAAAAAAAAGGTCAGATACAGACCTCTGTATCTCTATCTCCTCCATTTCTTTATCTCCTGATAGAGAGAATGCCTTGCCCCAGCTCATGATGAGAGGGTAGTGAGCAGATCTTTGTTCAGTCCTTGCCCCTGCAGGATCCACAGCAGCAGAGCACATCCTCACTTCAGACACACATCTGTACTACTGCATCTTCAACCTACCCAGCAAAGCTCCCAGACTTCTGCTGAGCAGGGAGTGGAAGTCAGGAGGGTTGTGTTAAACCTGCTCAATGCTTTCCACTGCTGGGAGAGAGAGAAAACCCTTGTGAGGGAGTTCCGAGTCTGAACTCTGTCACCTGTCAGTTCCACTGGCATTAATGTGGTAATTTCAGGTTAGGATTTGGTTTGGGAAGGCATCCTCAAGCAGCAGAGCACACTGGTTTGAAAGCAAGAATATTTATGAAAGGTTGCCCTGGAGTGGTTTTTTTTATTGATAAAATTCAAACCAGAATCTGACCCACTGACTCTAAGCCCAGAATAAAATTACTCAATGGTTTAATCATCAAGGTAGTATCTGTGGTAAGGAAATAAAACTGGTCTTTAAAAGTGATATTTCCTTTATGACTCCTGCAGTATTTTTCCTTTTGTCAGCATAATTAGTTAGTTAAGGAGTAAACAGAAGGGGGCTGTGGGAAAAGTAGGGAAGCTTCACAGCTGTGCTTTTATCAGAACGGCACAAGTCCCATTGCTTCATTCTGAATCACCTGATCTAGGGATTTGGCAAAAGAGATTTTGAAACACTTGAAAAATGAATGAAAATGATCCTGAATGGGAGGAAGAAAAGCTTTAAGTAAATAGCTTAAGTCAATGTGTCCAAATGTCACATATAAGGATGGCTCTGCTCTGTTTAATGACAGGAGAGCAAGGAAGGTAAGGGGGAGGAAGGGACCCTTTTTGAAGGGCTGTTGTTCTAATGTACCTGTGTTTATTTTAAAAGCTTTTCAAGGAGGTAGGGAGGGAAGCTACTGTCTCTCAGTGATAAAAGTTGATTGATTGAAGACCCTATTTGGGGGAAATCTGTTCTCTGTCTCTGTAGCTGCCCACAGAATCCCTGATATGCAGGTAAAGCAAGCTCAGAAGGATGTGACTGATGGCAGAGAACTAAGAATCAGGACCCTGGATTTGATTTCTGATTCTGACACTGACTATGTATGCTCGCAATTGACGTGCAAGTTCAGTGCAAGAACCTCTCTGAAAAATGGGGACCTCAGCCTTTCCTCCCTTCCTGAGACAGGGAAGCAGTGAGGCTGAAGGGGTGTCTCCCAAACAGATTGGCTTCATGGTGAAAAGTGGCTCTGGTAGTACCTGGTAGGTAAAACAGACCAGTGTGCAGAGCTGATCTCTACTGAAGGAATTCTAATTCCTGTGACTCATCTGTTCCTGTTCTAATTAGCCATGGTGTGTGAACACCTGCACCCACCATCTCCCTCTTATGTGGCAAATAATCTCATGGTTTATGGCTCTTGTGTTACAAAGGGATTCTTGCACAATGTCTGATATTAAATATAAGGCTTGAGTCTACTCTGCTGTGTGTGAGCCAGTCTGTTTTAAAAGACAAAAGCTTTTCCTTCAGTTGCTGTCATGTACAGACACTGTAACCTGGCTCTTGTGGAGAAAGCTGGCTGTGGAACATCTCCCTGCAGGTTGCTGAAGATAAAGGTATTCTTGGTTTTAGTTCCAGGAGATTGTTCAGCCAGAAGTTCAGAGTCAGTTCCAGCACTCGCTGACCCCTGCTGTCCTCACACACCTCAAAATGGCCCTTATTTAGCAGAGAGGAAAAATCTCTTTCTCCCTGCCTCTCTCCTGTGCTCGCTCTCATGTAACATTGTCCTTTACGAACAATGACATATTCTCACTGCTTCTCGTATGCCCTTCCATTGAGATGAAAAGCTAAGTCCAGATTTGTTTTTGCTGTCATTCCAAATGAAGCCAGAAGAGCTATTCTGGGAATCATCTGCACTCTGCACTTTACCTAAACAAATTTGAAAGGACAGGTTTTTGAATGCAACTGATCCTGCAAGGTACACAGGGCCTTTAGTCAATGAGAGAGAAGGACATTCCCAGCCATGCTGGGGAAGACTGGGCTTTTGCACTGCACATGCAAAATGGCTCCAAACCTGATCTTTCTCCATGTTTTGGGATGTGGTCAAATTAGTCCTCAGAAAACATAATGAAGAGAGGAGGAAGGTAGAAAGGTAGGAAGGTAGGAAGGAAGGTAGGAAGGTAGGTAGGAAGGTAGGAAGGAAGGTAGGAAGGTAGGTAGGAAGGTAGGAAGGTAGGAAGGAAAGGAAGGAAAGGAAGGAAAGGAAGGAAAGGAAGGAAAGGAAGGAAAGGAAGGAAAGGAAGGGAAAACAAGTACCAAGCAAGCCTGAAGAAAAAACAACAAAACAACTAAATGAGGAAAATCTGCAGACATGAGGCCAAAA